ATTCAATTACAATGAATTTTGAAATAACAAACAATGTTTTTGAATATGGATATGAAAAATAGATGAAAATGAAAGAAGAAATAGAAGAAAAAAAGAAAGCCATCAAAAAAAAAAAAACAAAATGTGTGGGGAATAAAAAACAGATGAAATATTCAAAATTTGTAAAACAAGAATAATAAACAAATAAAGAAAATAAATAAAAATAAAAGAATGATTCTTTATTGTATTTTCAAATTAATTAATAACAATCATTAATAAATTAATGAAAAGAATGTTTATGAGAATAATTTAATTTAATAAATTAAATTATTCATTCTATTTAAATTATTGTTTATTTAAAATATAAACTATCATATTTTATATTAAATTATTGAAAATAAATTTAAATAAAAACTCATTTAATTTATTTAAGTTTTTTAATTACTTCATCAAATATACAGTAGAAATAGAATCATTATCTTTCTGATGATATTCAAACATTATACTTACTTATAATTAATTCAGTTATTTCTTCTTTATGATGAATATTGTTGACAAGTTATTTTCTAGTTCTTCTTGTTCAATAAATTCAACATCTTTTACAAATACAAATATTTTAGTAATTTTGTTTTCTATTTTTCTTTTATTTCATTTCTTGTTCTTCTTCCTGTTGTTTTTATGAAGAATAATTTATTTAGTCTTAGTTCTTTCAATTTCCGAATCATTGTAACTAATTTCTTCTATGTATTTCATTCTTTTATTTCTTTGAATTTTCTTTATTTTTATTTATTTGGGTATGCTTTTCTTGTTTAATGTTTTGTTCTTTTTTATCTCTTCTTCAACTTCTTCTACGTGATTTAGTGTTAATAATATTATACATATATCATCATTCTTACAATTTCATTTTCTAACTGTGTATTATCAAAACAGGATGAACTTTTTAACTCATCACCCTACATTGGAAATTCATTAATTTCCAGTTATTCCATTAAAAATTCAAATAAATTTTGTTGATGTTTATCTATTTTTGTTTTTATTTTCT